AGTGACATCTGAACCTCCTACTGCAGCAGAAGTGCGTTCTTGCATCCAAGCCCTGAAGAAAGGAAAAGCAGCAGGGCCGTTCGGGCTTCCTTCCGCTCTTTTCAACATGGGAGGTGATGATCTTGTAGATTCCATTACTGATGTAACATCTGGTTAGACAATCGATGCTTACGTAGTCTGGCCCAGATAGGATGGAGTGAGCGGGTTAGAAGTAAGCCGTCGGGTGTTTGGGAATACATCAAACAAGAACTCGCTATCGCATCGAGTCCAGCTTGGTAGGCTCCGTTGGTTACGACACATTTTGCGTATGTCCGACGGTAGCTTACCGCAGCGCGCCTTGTTTGCAGTGGTTGTTACCGGCTGGAGGAAGCCACATGGAGGATGACGTGGAGACGAGGCATAGAGAAATGCACAGAGCGATCAGGTAGAGTAGATACCTCTCGGCTTCCGGGTTGGGGTCCAAAAGACTCCGAAACCGCATGGTTGGAGACACTGAAGGTCACGACTGCGAACCGACAGCAATGACGATCATGCAGTCACTTCTTATGAGACCAGAATGCTTGAAATAGTATGTATGCACAGTCGGACTGTTTACTCTGTGTGTTGACCATAGAGGTTCGCTTTCTTTTACCGTTCCTAAAATCAGGCCCAATCCCTGTCCTCCTTACACATTCTCACTTAGCTTGTATGCATTGAGTTTGGTAGCGATCAGCGAAGTTCGCTTCACTGTATTACGCTGTACAATGATGATGATGCTAAGGTTAGGTGCAGAGTTTCAGATAACCGCAGTCGCCTACGGGAGCAAGTAGTCGACCGCCATAGATTACACATGCCCCAAGGCATGTGTTACGCATGCCACTAATTAGGCTGCCACGGCGCGTGATATTTTCCCACACAGGAAGTGGATTGAAAAAAGGCAAATGTGGTCAAAATAAGACTTGGCACGCGGGTACGAAAACCCTAACCGATTGACTTGATTACATAAGTTGCGTTAGGCTACCTGGATGGAGACCCCGGGGCTGTAATATCCGGTGGTTAGAGACAGAGTGATGTCATAGTGTCATCCACAGAGGCGTTCGTGAATCTTCTCAATTTCTTTGCAATCTTAGTCTATTGAAATTTTCCATTTTCCCTGCGACTCTACTTCAACTTTCCTGTATTTATTCTACTGCTTCATTCAAACGGGAAGCCAAAACCGGTGCACGAAAGTGCATGGTTAATGGCTGTACAAACTGCCTTCTCGTGGCGGAGGTGTTTCCCACCAAAGTGAGAAGACGAAAAGCCGACATCCGGGGCTATAATTGGTTGGTGGACTACTGAGAGTTATTCTAAGGGAGTTGGACAAAAACCCTGATTCCAAACCAACCAAGAAGAGGCGTACGAACTACACATACCCTCCCGGTTATGGCAGTGATCGATTGGGCATCGAGTTGTATTGGGCACCTGGGACGTTTGACCGCATCCAAAGGGTGTATGATCCGACGAACTGGACACCGGCTCCCAGTGAATTTGGTTTTCGCACACCACCCCGCTGCCTTGCGGGTCAGGCTTTGGCTAGCCAAAGGCTCCGGTTGTGTATTCCTCAAGAAAATTCACTTGCCTAGGCCTAGGCAACCTGGCAGTACTCAGCCCACATGCAAATCATGGAACGGCTTTCTTTTTCATAAAGATCATTGCATCATGATTTGTCTGACACACAGTCTGGATTGACACGTGTGTGAAAATTAATTACAATTATCTCCACTCTGTCCAATTCCGTATCCCCTCTCTCGCCCCACTGCACTAACACTGATTGTGATTGTCGTACACTCACCCGTTCCTTTACACTTGGGGTTTGAACAGCCGTGTTTCTCCCAATGGTTCCCAGAATACCCTGGTTACTATCTCCCAAAACCATCAGGCTTTCTCTCTCAATTTCATTTGGATTCCGTGACTTTTATCTCCAGAAGCACCTTTCTCCCGAATCCTTTTCGCAACTTTTTCCCCCAGTTTACTTGCATTTCCTCGCCTGTATCTTTTGATGAGCGCAAGATGGGTTTCTTATTCCTACTTCAAACTTGGTTTCCTTTGAGTTTCCTGACACCCCAGAGCCCATACAAGCAGTCACTCTTATCAGCTGCTTACTTTTAGGTCCCACACGACTAACTTCCGGTCTTCCTTTTTCACTAAAAATGAGGAAAATCCTCTCTGCCCGTTTCCCTCTAACCTAAAATACTGAAGCTTTTAAAACAACGGTCAACAAACCGAATCCATCGTGAATGTCTTGTCTCTAAATTCTTTGTTCAGATCGCATGAGGTCGGATAGTGGGATTTACTTAGTTTACCGTGAACCACATTAGTTTTGTAACAAAAAGGAAAACCCAAGAAAGTAAGGTTATGGGCCAAGCAACATTCTACGAAATTTGTTATGTTTGGCAGATCGCATTGTTGTACATCAGTCTTTTAACTCAAAGTAACTCGTAAACAGTGAGGGGCTAATGTATCATTGATTTTGGTCTAATCACAATTCACAATCCTTAGTCCGTACAGTTAAACAATGACTAGAGAAGCAGTGAACTCGAATTTCACTTTGCTTAGGGTTCATCAGGTTTGTGTTGCGTTGTTTTGTACTCTCTAAGGTCGATTAACAATAACTTCCAGGGTTGTATGAGTGAACTTACTTTGATCTTCCAGCACCCCGAGCAGCTGGCCGTGACACAGGTGGAGTAGGAGACGAATCGGCAGGGGCGGGTGCAGCAGTAGCTGACTTCTTGGTAGACGGTTTTGATGCGGCGGCGCGCCCACGTGGTCGTTTGACAGGGACATCTTTTCCGATCGTTTGCTTTGCAATATCTTCAGTGGATCCCAGGGCCTTGAATGAACACCAAAGACGGTAGAGTGAAAATTATCGATCGCATCAGAATTGAGTTTGATTCAAAGCGTGCAAGATTCTATGTATATTCACATGTAACATCCACTTTCCGGTAAGCAGTAGTGTGAAATAGATTATATTGATCTGGGCTGACTATCCTAAAGACTTGACGTTAACGCACAAACCTCAGCTCATTCGGTAAACCGTACACTCAGTAAGCACTAGACACGAGGTTCACTCGTGTTAGAGCTCATCACTGGTGCACTGAGACTTGACTTGAGACAGGCTGAAATTAAGCTCGCCCAATTAAGAGGTGATAACTAGAAAAAAAGAGTTTATTTTATTACCTTACGCCATTAATTCGTGATTTGGGTTAGTGCATGCGAATATGCCATAAACGAATAGTGGGCAGCGTGCTTGGCATCAAAGCTACAAACAAATTCGAGTGGCTTCTACGGATCCCATAATATCCTTTCTGATAGGATGAACTGGAACAGATCAGCATAGATTTCATGACTAGAGGCAAGAACCAAAGGGATTATAAAAATCCAATGAAAACTAAAGCCGATATGTGTGTGGGTCGGATGATTTGTTATTGTCCGAACATTCAGTGATAAGAAAGTCTCGTGAAAATTTTGAAAACGAGCTGATGGTCAGCCAGAAATGTGGATAGAGCAACTTAGAGAAACAAGTTAAAAAGGAAATACTGAAAAAGAGCACTTACTATCACGCTGCGATCCGTACTGGGCCGTTTTGTAACTAGAGTGCTTGTCCGAGAGACGCCAGATCTCAAAGATTTGTGGAGATCGGCAAGACAACGTTTTAAGGAAGCATAATTCGGTGACTCATCGTAACGTAGTTGAAGGATTTCGGTTGCGAACTGAACGAGATCTAAAAAAGTGGCGAGAATCATGGAGAAACCGTGAAACAACAGAATGAATTGTTATTACTGGGATTAGAGTTTAAAATGGTATGTGCATATATATATATATATATATACATATATATATATATATAGAGAGAGAGAGAGAGAGAACGGGGACGTAGACCGAGCTGTAAAATGTTTATTGCGACGTTTCGATCAAAACCAGAACTCGCCGTCATACGTAAAAGAAAGATGCGGTCATGCATCCATTCACTTCCATTGTGCATTTGAATTTTCTCGTGTCCAACTCGATTTGATAACGCTTTGGGCCGATCTTTCGTTGAATCTTTGTCATTTGCAGTGGATTGCCAATCGGAGAGCAGAACTACTGAGTTATGTTGCTGTTATTGTTCGATTGCAATGAATTGAAATGCGCTTTTGAAAAAGCCTGCTTTGAGCGCACATATTTATGCAGGATTCAATGATAGAACTCCAAAGTATGACTAGAAGAGCTCACGATGAGACGCGGGAGTTTCCTACTAGTGGCCAGCTGCCATTCAGAATACGGTCCAAAGAACTGAAGCATAATCTGCCTCCTGGGAGCCGAAATGGTTGAGTGTGTTGCAAGCCGTCATTAAATCACGCCGATAAACATGTTTCATGTAGTGCAGAAAGGTTTATTTGAATTATAATCCTAGAAACCGCAACTGGTGACCTCTTACGACAACTACAGACAGATAGGCCACGGGAACTCACAGAAAGTATGCAACATGATCTGAGTACATAATTTATGGATTCAAACACCGAAGATGATGTTTGCTGGCGGGAGCCCGGACTACTTATATAATGGCCCTGAAAGGTGACCATTTTTAACTCTCTACAACTGCTCGATCACACTGGGCCTATGAAACTATGGTGCATACTGTACAGACAAACAAAGAGTGGACATCAAGAACCATGAGACCAGTCAACACACAGATAGAGCAAAACCGAATAGGTTCAAATGAGGCACACTATGACAGCCAGCTATAAATGCGCAAAATGTTCAAAAATGTTTACCGGGGTGATCGCGGAAACCGGTTTCGGCGGTAAGAGTGCCCAAATCTTTGACCGACTTCTCTTTGATTGCAGCAACCTGATTTTTCACTGATTCCGGAACATTGTCTCTCAGTTTTGGGTCTGAAATTCACAAGTGCACATGCGAAGTTAGATGGACGTTAAGCGTGACAGAAAAAAAAACGGATTATTATGATCAACAGCAATGCTTAAAGGCCGAAGACAAAACAATTTTATGGCAGATTCGACGCAAGAACAAAGAATTCGGCTTCCATTGAGAAGTGAGACAATGTAGATCAATTTAGTGCACACGAGAATATGAAAGACCCGTTCATCTAATCGTGTTTCAAATTAGGATATTGATTTGTGTTCCAAACTGCTGTTTATTTGAGCTCTGAAAGTAAACATCACAATAATACGGTTTAGAGAAAAATGCTTCCAGGTGTAAAACCCTTTTGTAATTAGTTAAAACAGATTAAGAAAAACCTTCTCAGTCAGTTTACGATTCCCTAATACACATCAACTCTTGGTCGCATATTTATTGCCTAGTGAGATGTGGTCTCGGAAAACAACATTCCGAAAAGTTGAAGTCTGTTCATTTTGGAGCCCGTAAATGAAAATCACGGAAATGGTAGATTTCTATCACACCAGAGAGCCAAGACGCAGCGGTCAGGACTGTATAAATGATAGTGTGAACATTCGGAAAAGTCATCTAACTTTTGCCAATTACCATTCGTTTCCTTTTTATCTATTGAATAGGCAATGGTATGGCAGGAAGGGGACCACAGTCAGCAGAAAATTACCTGGGAACAAACAGAAGTGGGAAGGTTGGTTTTACGGTTATTGGATTCGAGTGCACAACCCTTGGACCGATACGGCAGTGATCTATAACGCTTGACGACCGCCGTCGAATACAAACCGTATAGAAGATGGGTTGAACAAATACAGCTGAAAATTTTATCATTTTTCTCAAATGCAACCCAGTTATGTTTGCTGAGCACCGACTGCTAATTGCTGTGACTGTACTTCGGTAATTCTATTGTAACCGCTACACTACTCGTGATTGCGTTTCAACATAAACATATGTACTAGATACTGAAGATCATCTACATTTGTTCCTTCTATCCCATTCTCCAGGATCTATGCTGAGCATATCATATTATATCATCGGAGATCACATAATCCAAGCAAATTGATTGATAGATATGAGCACAATTATCATTTTCCTAACTCAAAATAATAAAACACAGAGAAAAGGGAAAGGACCAATACCAATAAATTGACCAAACCTAAACAATTTGTCTGGTGCTTTTCCAAAACAAAGAAATGATCAAGAGCGCTGTCAAGTAACTAGCCAGTATCGTGTGGTCTTATAGAACCAGCAATAGTAACAGATTTCGAGAAAACTTTTTTTAACAAACCTGATATGAGGTAACCCCAAGGCAACCCGAAGGAAGGGGATTGTATAGCATTAGGCTGACAACGAGCCAACCAATGTATTAGGTTGAATAATAAAATCTGCAGATCGCCTCGTCTCGAAGGGGCCAACCCTGAGTGGAAGAAAAATATAGAAAAAAGGAATGTATCATTAAAAGTGATTGATAAATGAGGGTGTCGAGGATGATTTCGGTGTTATAGGAGAGGGGAGGGGGGACGAAGTACTGAGTCCGTGTGGTGCAGATTCCCATGAACTGCCTGATGACTGTCTTCAATTCAGTGATCGACTTCCATGAAAGTTTTTATTTAAACACTATTAACACTACCAGATGAAAGACAATTGTAGAAAATAAAGATAACTTAGCAGGAGAAGTTAAAACACAATCAGAGATGTGCAGAAAAATAAAGCACCTCGTTGCATGTACAGTATCCAATATTTTGTTATTTGTTGTTTGTAATAAATGCAGTCGAAATGCAGNAGGACCAACACATCAGGTTGGCGTGGTCCCAGAAATTTGCTTTGTTCTGGAACAACCAAGCAGATCAAAGGTAACCCAACGCAGATGAGTGGTCATAAGCCAAATCCAAACCAAATTAGTTACACAAGGAAAAAATGAGATTATTTTACCGCGATCTCTAGATGAACAAGTGGATTCTGTTTAAAACGTTCGTGTTGACACGTTAATACCAATGTAGTAAGCTAATTGGCGGGCAATATTAAGCTGGCAACTACAGTCATCCTGATGACGAAAAGCTCGGATATGAGATGCAAGAAGGAACCATAATCATTATAATTCCAGTGAAACAAACGAGTATCTGGGATAACATAAATTCCAGTGATCGGTATAGTGTTCATTGCAGTATCAATGCAGTCTGCATGAAGAGAATATTTTTTTTCACTTGTATTTAGATAACAGTAAGGATTTGTCAAACTGTAATTGCAACATATGAGATAACAAACAGTAATCTGCCGACTGACCGATTCCCACGACACCAATTATGGTAAAAAAGAGCTTTGCTGGATAGTTTGAGTGCTAGTGTAGCCATGTTCGGTATGCCTTTTTCACCTTCAAAGTGCAAAATGTTGCTACAAGATTGGGTTGGCCCAGGTCCAAAGCTCACTGTAACTGAGGAAGTGGTAGAAGAAGTAGATAGATCTTGTTATTTAGACACCTGTATCTCACCCGATGAACGCGTCACAGGCAAAGTGTTGGCATGCATGCAGAAGGCTCGATTGGCATTCGCCAGTTTGAATTGTGTTGGAATAACTTCTACAAGCATGAAGCCCACATTTCAGTTAAAAAATATACAGTTTGGAGCAACGGAGAAAAATGAAAATAACTAATTGAGGGATGGGAACAACAGGAAGTCAGGTCAGCGTGTAGCGGATGTGTGGAGTCGATGAGAATCTTATGCGCAAACTTTTCACATGAATTCAAATGACGTTCGCATAGGTTATTTATCAACTCCTTTAAGTGGGATTGAAGAGACGCGGCTAATGATGATCAATCCACGTCGAAGCAAATTCAAATCTTTCTTAAGGAGGTTGAGAAAAATAACAGGTGAACAATAAAGCAAAACAGGGAAAACACACTGATACACAAAGTTGGAAATAATTGATTGTGGAATACGAAACTGACGATGTTTACGGATATGAAAAGAAAGTCGTTTAATCTTACTGATAATATGTTGAATGTGAGAGGTCCAGTGAAGATTAGTATCAATAAAAACGCCCAGGTATTTAATACAGTTTACCCGGGATACTGGTTCGGAACCAATCGATACCGGTTCAGATGGGAAAGAAGAGCGTGATAGTGTGAAGAGACATTCGAAAAATTTGGAGGGATTAGGAGATAGGCCCGATGTGGCGGAAAACCGTTGAACGTTATCCAAGTTGTCAGAAAATTGTGAAAGACCAGAAGAGTTAGAGATGGCCTGACACAAGACCACATCGTCAGTATATTTGAAGAGATGTAGGGGCTCAAGCAACTAAGTCACTAATATACGTAGAAAATAAATATTGAGAAAGAACAGCACCTTAGAGTACTCCAGAGCTGTTCAGCAACGGTTTGGATTTCTTTCGACCTAACCTGATACACTGAGTTCTCCCGGAGAAGTAATCGGCAAGCCAAGCTAATAACTGTCTAAGACAACCAAAGGTCTCTAGTTTATGAAGAAGAAGAAGGGAACGGGGAATAGAATCAAACGCAGATGAGTAGTCCAGAAACACACAACCGACAGATTTCGCAGTCATTCAAGGATTGAGCAATTTTATGTAAAAGAGAGGAAAACTGCATCCAACGTGCCTCTGTTTGAGGAGTTAGAGGACTGAATGCGCTTAAGAACAACACGTTCTGCTAGCTTAAGTCCGACAGAGGTTAAAGCAATAGGACGAAAGCGTTTGGTTAGAACATTTGAAGTAGAGGATTTGGGAATGGGAACAATTGTTACTGGTTCCCAACAATCTGGAACAGAGCAGGTTTTTAAGGAAGTGTTCAAAAATGATGTGAATATTTCACTGAGAGAATAGGCCCCATATCTCAGAATGGAAGATGAAAGACCATCGGGACCAGCACTGCACGTGGTTTTCACGGTATGTAAAAGCTCAAGCGTTTCTTCTTTCGAGACGGTCTCAACTTGAACGGCATCGTCCAAAACAAATGGCGTGATCGCATCGCTTGACGGGTGGATAAATGCTGCATTAACACTGTCCCAATCCGTTGTGCAATCCGACGTTTTAGATTCGGTCCCACACAGAAATTTAATACCTTGCCAAATTCGCTTACTGTTGTTACAAAGCAGAAGCTGGGAGGCGTACGAGGCAGAGAGCCGTTTGATTTCAGCTTTGATCAATTTGCTGTAATGCTTGACGGCCGCTGAGTCTCTAGATCGTTCCTTCTGAATGAATGAGGGCAAACGTGTGGTTAAGTGTTTCAGTGAATACGTTGACTGCATTGCGTAAAGAGAGATAAGAAGAAAACCACGAAGAAACGACACTGATGGAACGCTTAAGAAGAAGAGTGTTTCTTGGGGAGAGATTGTGAAGACGATTGATGATTTGATTGGTTCTTGTGAGTGTATTGTGAATGGGACGGGAGTAGATTGTGGGTCTTATGAGAATCAGTGCATGATCACTAGTGGAAATAGGTGCTGTGAGTTTTAGGGCAAAATGCTCTGGGTGATTAGGAATAACCTTGTCTAAAAATGAATCACCTCTTGTGGGGGACAAGCAAATATCAGTTAAGCCAAAAGAAGTTATGGGATAGGTGGATGCAACAATGATGTGGAGACTATCGTCTGTGAGGGGAACGAAAGACAGAATAAATGCATCAAAGACAGATGAAATGTGAGACTGGGCACAAGAGGGGGCTATGTATAAGTTGGTAATGATTGTACTTCTGTATCGCGAAAATCTAGGGAAACATTGAACAGTTAAGAAAGTCGATGCCATCGGCGGAATAATCAAAAAGAATTTCAGAGTTTGAAACATCTGTGACTCCGTCGCGACATCCGACTGTCTGCCTTTTATCGAAGTAGACTCCAAAAGACAACAACAAAATTCGTCACACGAAAATGCATGGTTGGTGGTTGTAAAAACTGAAAACTGATTTTNCGTGCGACAGGTACTGGAGGGAGGAAATAATGCCGATGAAAAGCCTTTAGATGTCGATCATACTATTTCTTTATCACAAGAGGATCTATCTCCTTTCTTGAAAATCGGCGAAATAATTAAGCCGGATGATATATATATATATATATATATATATATATATATATATATACATTACGTCCGAAGCCAGAGTGTGTACCAAACAAATCATGGTACAATAATCTTTATAAAAAGAAAAACATTCCATGATTTGCATTTGGGCTGAAAACGGCCAGGTTGCTGTGGCCAAGGCAAGTTATCCGGAGGAATGGATCACTGAAAAGACAGCAAGACATCAGAGATCGAGGAGACCCATTGATTATGCTCAGACCGTGGGCCAGAAAACAGTGTCGTTTTGATGGACATTTGAATAGCTTCCAGCGTCAATTGAGTCTTTCGACGAGTGATTGAACTGAGGTGACGACAGTGCTCCGTTTAAAAAGTCAATTTGCAGTTGTCGCTTACAGTGTGTTATGGGTATCCGTTTCCAGTAGTTTTATTGCGCTTATCGGGTGCTTGGATATCGGATGTTTGCGAGATAAGTGAATGCTCATGTTGGTACATATTTCTTTTGAATCGGATCTACTCTAAATCGTAAGTCCTACTGGACTGCTATTTTGACTGCGATCACACTAGTCCGGACCAAGACTATATGGCGTATATCTCTGATCAGCGAGAGAGACTATGTGGCACGCATAACCCAAGCTGTCTCACGAAAACAAGGCAAGTATTCAAGTCACATCATCGATTTGTGCACCTTGATGAATGAATGTTCAGCAGCTAGCAACGTTGGCTATTTATTTATAAGAATTCAGATATTTCAAAGCTTTCTTCTCCCTCATCGAGTGACACTGTACATCAAGAGCTTCACATAGAAAAAATCAACTCATGACGCTGGATGAGAGAACCCAGAGAACGATCTGTCTATCGCAAAAGCTGCGTAGCAGTAGCGAGATGTCCAACCCACTGCAACGATCACAAATTACGTTATATGACAGCAGTGCTCATCGCGGAAGGAAATAAAATTGGGAGCAAGTACTGTAAACGTTGAACTGTAAGACCATACGGATGCATTTCTTTGAACGCGTATGTGGAACCCAGTCAAACCGTGTAGAACTTTTTGAGCAAATGTAGGACAACACCTTGAGAAAATACGAACCAGCAAAGCCGCTCACCTTGATGTGAATCGAGAGAACAGAATTCCAGTGTGCCGTTATGACGGTATTTAGGGTCCGGTTTCGCGGAACAGTGAACACCGCTGATTCGGAACAAGTGCACTAAGCCGAAGTCCACCAAGTAGACCTGAAAGCAAATGGACTCGACTGAGAATAAACTATGGCGGATTGAAGTGTATTGACTATATAGTGTAAATCAGCTAAGTGGTAATTACTCGATAGTTCAAAATAATAGTTATCCATGACAAAATTTCGAAGCATGACAGGAATCATTGGCACTTCTTTTCCCTCCCACCATATTTTGTTGCTATCACTGAGATGAGTATGACAATAGCATAAGAACACCGAATCCGACCGATGCAGGCATTCGGGCGGGTACACAGTGGACCTTTGTTTAAGCTGAAAAATTTGAATTGCTTTTAGTGAATCCGTGTGATACTATTCTAGTTAATAAGGCACTTGTATCGAGTGAAAAGAAATTTATCGGTTCTTACTGATTTGCGAGCCCCTCGAACTTGGTCAAACGGACCATAATAATTGCTACAAGCAAGGAAATCTAGGGGGGGCGTCATAGCAGAAGAAAATTGGATTGAGTAGGCATTTTAGTTTTATTAGCAAAACGCCTCATAAATGTTCTACACAACAAAGAACGAATGAGAAAACCGCCGACCGCGATCAATCTGAAATTGATCAGCAACTAAGCTAGCAAGATTCATCCAAAGTCCTGAAAAAGTGCTTAATACATAAAGAATCAATAAAATGCATACTAAATAAAACCCCAACTGCACTTTACGCTTACATTCTAACCAACAGATAACCCCGTAAGTATAGCCAGAATAATAAAGGCTTATTATAGTTAATCAATTAAAATGAACGTTTTGGAGTTTGATGACGACATTCCGCGATATCTCTTCCGAGATGCAACCGAATGAAGCTCACGTCTTTGTGGAACGTTCTATTGGAGCCTGGAATAGGGTGGCCCGGGAACCGAAGCATTTCTCCCCCCCCCTTCATCATACTGGGAATCTCAAAAGAATTGGCAACAAATTTTAGCAATACTACAAGGGGGAACAAGAGCAATGCATGCAGTCTATAAACAGCTGACAAACAATTGACCCGTGATGAAAAGAATATGGACACAGACTCACCTCTTCGACTTTATTCCCGTGGAGCAGATTAGATGCCTTGATATCCGCGTGTGCATAGTCTTTCGAGTGCATATACTCCAGGGCATCCAGCTAGTTTCATAACAATGGATGGTACATTGGAGGAGAGGGTCGTGTTTATGTTACAGAAATACATAGATCAGAAGAGATACGTGAGAAGTCCACAGATGCATGAGGAAATGTACAGAGTGGTAGTCTGTGTTCCGTGCTCTGATTCAGAGAGACCGATCCAGACAATCAACACCTGTTCCTGCCCGATGGTGCGCGCTTCGTGCCTTGATGCAGAAAGAGCGATAACTAGGGTGAGCGAGAGTGCCTCCGGTTTAGATATTAGCGTATTTGACTAGAAATGTGAGACATACATCATGGATACTGCCACAGATCCACATTGCTGCTTCAAGAAAAAACGGAGATAAATGACCAAATGCTGTTAAGGACAAGAGCCACTGCAGAGTTGCGTAACGTCCATCCTTGATCGGCAGTCAATCAGCCACAGCTACGTCTCACCACTGGAAACGTAATGTTTCCGATATTAGATAACCGATGAGTAATACAATACGTTTTTGGAGATTATTTCAGAAGATTTGACGTTCACAAACGAGATCACGTAGTCCTAGAGTCTCTCTACAAAATACCAAAAGCTAAAACCAGGGAACAAAAATATCGACACGACACTATGAAAAAATTGGTCACAGAAATTCTGCTCTAGAATGAAAAGTTAGCGCTTAGCTTGTTCGGGACGAAAACCTGTCTGATTAAGCAATCAGGGATTCAAAACTTCTTGTAAGGGGTTCACAGTTGTTCAGACAGTTGTTACAACCATTAACCATGCACCGGTTTTGGTTGCCCATTTGGATAAAACAGCAGAATGAAGATTGGAATGTAAAAGCAAATACAAGCGGAAGGTGGGGAATTCATATAGAGTGGTGTTAGGAAAAGTACGAGTGGATGCACGAGCGCCACTGTTTGCGACATCCAGCCATATCACTCAGTGTATCTACCATCGGTTACTATCATCCCGAAGTCCCCAGCCAGGGAGCCTATGTGAACTAGTCTCCTGGTTAGAATTTTCATACCCTCATGCGAGGTCTCCGTTTGACCACCCTTGACCCTTTTCCAACCGCTACCTGCCTCGGC